CACTCAAAAAAAAAAAAAACAGAATAAATGCATTTTTCCTTCCAAATAAAGTTAAGTTTTAGTCTTAGGGTCTGCTCCTGTGAGAAACTAAACTAAGTTGGGTTGTTTGCAATTTTGGTAATAATACTGCTGAGGATGTTCTTGTATCCTGATACAGAGACTAGGTGTTTCTCTGGGATATACTCCCAAGTAGCATGACTGGGGTGCAGGGCACGCATATTTCCAACATTATGAGATGCTGGCTTGCTTTCCAAAGTGGTTGGAATAAAAAGTCATGAATAGTGAATACAATATTTCTATTATTCCACATCTTTGCTAGCTTAACCTTTGGTACTGTGGAACACATAAAGTAGTTTCTTATGGTTTTAATTTGCTTTCTTGAGTACTTAATGAGATTGTTCATCTTTACATTATTATTAGCCATTTGTATTTTTCTTCTGTAAAATGAATGCTTGCATTTTGTTTTTGCCACTTCTTCCATTGACCTGTAAACATTATTATTATTATTGTTTTCTTTGAGACAGGGTCTCACTATGTTACCCAGGCTGGTCTTGAACTTGTGGGCGCAAGCGATCCTCCCACCTCTGCCTCCCAAAGTGCTACACCCAGATGTAAATTGCTTTTTGTGGGAGCTTTTTATCTACTCTAAATTCTAGTATTTTATGAACTCTGTAGACATTTTCTCCCAATTTGTGACTTGTCAGTTCCCTTTTTGGACACTTGATGAACAAATATCTATTTAAAGTAGAAGAATTCAAATGAAATTATTCTGCCTTTTACTATTGAGTGTAATGCTACTTATGCTACTTGTAAGTCTTTCTCAGATGCCCTTTTTTTTTTTTTTTTTTGAGTTGGAGTCTCACTCTGTCGCCCAGATTGGAGTGCAGTGGCTGCTCCCGGCCACCGCAGCCTCGACCTGCTGGGCTCCGGCCATCCTTCTGCCTCAGCCTTCCAAATAGCTGGAACTACAGGCGCGTGCTACCACACCCGGCTCATTTTTTTATTTATTGTAGAGATGAGGTCTCGCCAAGTTACCCAGGTGGATCTCGAACCTGTGGGCTCATGCAATCCGCTCACCTCGGCCTCCCAAAGCCGCGGGATTACAGGCTGAGCCACTGAGCTCGGCTCCAGATGCCCTTTTAACTGTAATATTTAGATCATTTGCATTTAATGCAGTTATCTGTATGGTTGGGTTTAAAATCTATTATCTTTTAAGACAATTTTATAGCTTTATTTTATCGTGGAGCTGTGGGGACAAGTCAGGACTAGGCATATAAATAGTTTACGTGCAGGGTGAAGTTTGGTCCTCTAACTGGTCCTCATTTCCCCTGGTTTAGGATCAAGTACTCTTTGTTTTGTTATGTGTCTCCCCACTTCCTCCCTCCACTGCTGATCCCTCCCTTGTGCTTTTTTTTTTTTGAGTTGGAGTCTCACTCTGTCGCCCAGACTGGAATGCAGTGGCGGAGCGGCCACTGCAGCCTCGACCTGCTGGGCTCCGGCAAGCCTTTCGCCTCAGCCTTCCAAGTAGCCGGAATTACAGGCATGCGCTACCACGCCCGGCTGATTTTTAATTTATTTATTGTAGAGATGAGGTCTCGCTGCCCAGGCGGATCTCGAACCCGCGGTCTCAGGCAATCCGCTCACCTCAGCCTCCCAAAGTGCTGGGATTACAGGCTGAGCCACCAAGCCGGCTTCCATTAACATTTTAGCAGTGTTTTGTCATGTGGACAAGTAGAGGATTCCTTTCTATGTTGGACTTGCCGGCTGTGTAGTAGACATCTGCAATAAAGTGCTTCTACCAGAATGGGTTTGGTTATCTCTCCTATGGGGAAAAGTATGAGAGCCCAGGTTTGCGATACTGAGCCACATTCAGCGCCATTGACATTGTGATGGGCAATGTATCAATGTAGGAAGATGATAGGGGGATACCCATGGTGGCTCACCAGGCCCGTGATCATGTTGTCCTCACGTCAAAAGGCCCGTGCAGTAGATCCAAAGCTGTGGCTCAGTTCATTCATCAGATGGAGAAAGGCTTGTTACTCATCTTTCGTATGTGCTGATTAGTTCAACAAGACTACTTCGTTTTTTAAAAAAGTAATTGAAATTACACGAGAAATCTTTATTGGTCAATCTAAGGCTTGCTGCTTTAAACAGTTTATTGTAAAAGGAGTTTTTCTAGTGTTTATAAAATGAGGTTGTGTGAGGCCACTGAAACGGTGTTTGTTTTTCTTGCAAATATTTCAGTGGCAGTTATAAACAGCTCGATATGCTTTGCTTGGGAATGTGCGATACCATAAGCTTGCAATTTTGGGGTCTACACTCACTGAAGCGACATTTTACTCTGCGTGTGGATAGTGTGTTATACAATAGTTCCTGTGATTCTAATAATAGAATTATAATATGTGAGGCCCGAAATGGGTGTTAGCCATCATTCAACTTCCTCACTACAGAAAAAGAAATAGGCATGAAGAAATTAACTCATTTCAATCATGCCAGTTAGGAAATGTTGTTAAATCATTTAAAATAGAGATTCACCCACAAAATGTTTCAGGAAAGGTTCAAGAATGAGAATGGCAGGCCATTTTAGGAGAATATCTATTTCTCAAGTGAGGTATTTATTAGAAAGTAGTGGAGAGGGGGTTGAGGGTCATACATCTAAATTTAGGAGAGTTATATCTAATCTCATAATATTCTGAAGATCCAATCTCGTGTGTGCCTTTATGCAGCCCCTGTCAGAGACTGCATTTAAGAAAGAAGACAATTTAAAATGGCCAAGATGGTAAATTTCATGTTACGTATATTTTGCCACAATTAAAAAAAAAAAAGAGAACACAAATCAAAGAACACAAATCAAAACAGAAGAGAAGGTGTGGATTCACACCATTTTTTCCAGTTCCTTGATAATGGGGAAGGTAGATTCTTATGGGTATGACTTCTATGATTTTCCTAGGGGAGTTACCAGCTTCTGAGGACAGGTATCTCTTTTGAAGATAGGGCTGAGGGGATCATCAACCAAGTTGTGGAAGTTTTAATTGACCAGTCTGTTGGAAACTACCTACCTCTCTTCTTGTTTCTGCTGTATCAATGAGAACCTTCTGTTCACTCTGGCAATGCTACTCTGTAAGACTCATGACTCCATGTAAGCTTGAAGGGATAGTCTTTATTCAATGCCTTGTATATGTGAAACAATGAGCTAGAAATTGTATGTTGAGGCCATTGCTTTGCTAAACTCTGGTCTGGCCACGTGTCTCTTTGATCTATGGTTGCCATGTTTCCTAAGCTTTGGTTACCTCCCCTACTTTGGGGAGGTGAATCTCCTCTCTCTATAATTTACTTTCTAAATAAGCTATATTTTTCAATCTAAAAAAATTGTATAATTGTATGTCCATTATCACATCACAATCATGTGCTGGAGGTGGTATTATCCCTAATTTTTTTTTCTTTTTGAGTCGGAGTCTCCTTCTGTCACCCAGGCTGGAGTGTCCTGGTATGCTCACGGCCACTGCAACCTTGACCTGCTGGGCTCAGGGTATCCTTCTGCTTCAGCCCTCAAGTAACTGGAACTAAAGGCGTGCACTACCATGCCCAGATTTTCAAAATTTATTTATTGTAGAGACAAGGTCTTGCCAAGTTGCTCAGGTTGGTCTTGAACCCCTGAGCTCAGGCAATCCTCTTGTCTCCGTCTCCCAAAGTGCTGGGATTGCAGGCATGAGACACCACGCCTGGCTGTCCCTAAGTTTTAATCAAGAAAAGTGAGGTTCTGAGTGGTGTGGTATATACTCTCCATGTTTACACAGGTAACATGAGAATTCAAGCCCAGCTCTCTATTTGAAGTCCCTGATATTGTCTTTATAACATAGTTGCCTCGATTTTTAAAATCCCACCCAAGTTAAATGGAAGGAAGAATTTAGTACCTCAACATTGGTATATAACTTTGCAGGAGAAATAAGAAGTAAGATTTTGTTTGGCATGGACTATTTCATTCATTCATTAGATTTCTAGTGGGAACCCACTTTGTCCTGGGCATCATTCTAGGCCCTGAACAAGATAGGTGTCATCCCTGCTCTCAGGTAGTAACAAATTATGTCATAGCTGTGTGAACTTACTTGACCTGCATGCAAAAGTTTATTTCAAATCGAATTAAGGACAATAGCAGGGCTTTTAACCGTTTCTCACTACTTTTGTTACCATCAACTGTGTTCTGTTTTAGCAGGAGCAAAATAGGCTAATTCAGAAAAATGTCTTTCTTCGGAGAACTCCAAAAATGCAGATATTAAAAATAAACAGGTCGGGCATGGTGTCTCAAGCCTGTAACTTTAGCATTTTGGGAGGCCGAGGTGAGAGGATTGCCTGAGCCCGCGGGTTCGAGACCTACCTGGGCAACTTGGCGAGACCTTGCTTCTACAATAAATCAAAAATTAGCCAGGCATGGTAGTGCGCGCCTGTAGTTCCAGTTCCTTGGAAGGCTGAGGCAGAAGGATCGCCGGAGCCCAGCAGGTTGAGGCTGAGGTGGCCGGGAGTGTGCCACTGCATTCCAGTCTGGGCGACCGAGTGAGATTCCAACTCAAATAAATAAATACAGTAAAATAAAATATATACGAACTAAAACACACATAAAACCAGGTTATATGTTGACTGGTTGAACATCTTGCAACCAGAGGCTCGCAGGAACCTAACCCCGCGTTTTTCCTAGGAACTTATTTGGTGTTGCCCAGGTGGCCTCAAACTCATGGGCTCAGGCAGTCCTCTCACCTTGGCCTCCCAAAGTGCTGGGATTATAAGCATGAGCCACCATGCCAGGCTTATATACATATTTAATATGTATGTTTTAAATTTAATATATATTGCTGATTCATTAATATTGAACTCATAGCCAGCAGGACTATCACGCTGAACGAAGCTTATTGAACACATGCATTTTCTCTGTAAGGCATCACAGTCTTCTTGCACATAGGAACACTAGATAGCTTTTTAGCACTACCTTGGGGACCCTGTTTAAAAGGGTCAACCTGGAACTCTACGCCTCCTACGCCTACCGGTCCAGGTCATACTACTTTGACCGCGATGATGTGGCTTTGAAGAACTTTGCCGAATACTTTCTTCACCGATCTCATGAGGAGAGGGAGCGTGCTGAGAAACGGATGAAGCTGCAAAACCAACGCGGTGGCCGCATCTTCCTTCAGGACGTCAAGAAACCAGACCGTGATGACTGGGAGAACGGGCTGAACGCCATGGAGGGTGCATTACACTTGGAAAAAAACGTGAACCAGTCACGACTGGAGCTGCACAAACTGGCTACTGACAAAAACGACCCCCACTTGTGTGACTTCATTGAGACACATCACCTGAATGAGCAGGTGAAATCCATCAAAGACTTGGGTGACCACGTAACCAACTTGCGCAAGATGGGAGCCCCCGAATCTGGCATGGCAGAATATCTCTTTGACAAGCACACCCTGGGAGAGAGTGATGACAGCTAAACCTTGGGCTAATTTCCCCATAGCTACTGGGTGACTTTCCTGGTCACCAAGGCAGTGGCATGCATGTTGGGGTTTCCTTTGCCTTTTCTGTAGGTTGCACCAAAATGTCCACTTCAGTTCTTTGATTTGTACCATTCCTTCAAATAAAAACTTGGTACCCCACCAAAAACACACACACACACACAAAACAGTGACATGACCAATAAAAAGCATAAGAATGCAAAAAAAAAAAAAAAGAGATAGCACTAAAAAGGACACTTGTTTACAGTATTGGAGCTGAAACAAGAAGGCAGAGTCTTGCCTTGTTCAGCCTCAGCTGGGGATGTGTGCTTTGGGCAACTCAGAATTTTCACTGCTCTGTGCGTGTTTGTGAAATAATCCAAAAGTACTGTGCATATTGACTTTGGGGTTACAGATACATTTTGGTGGGTCAGGTGAATTTGCAAATACAGAATCTGTGAATAGTGAGGACTGACTACTGAGCGCAATAATAAAAATCAGAAGAAAGATGTCAGGTGTGCTGTGCAGAGAATGACGGGGTGCTACTGATTGGGGGGTCAGGTGAGGTGTCTCTTCTGATAAGGAGACTGGCCTGTGCAGATCTGGGGAAGGGCATTTGCGGTGTGGGGAACAGAGAGAGCCAAGACCTCCAAGACGGGAAGGAGTTTGGTGTGAGGAACTCCAAGCGGGCCATGGGGGCTGCCAGGGAGTGGGAGGAGGGAAGAGCTGGCAAGGCAGAGGCAGGTCTGGTCGCTAGGGCCTTGTGGGCTGGGGTGTGGGGTGAGGATTTGAACCTAAGTGCATTGGGGCGAGATGGATTATTATGATGTCAGTGCTACCGAAAGCCAGTTTGGGGCCACTGTGAAGCTTTGAGGAACCACAGCGGTGCCCCGGTCACATGGACCCTTTAAAGTATGGCGGGGAACATTCAGCTTTTCCCAGTTCTGCCCTTGTACAAGTCTTTCCTCACCCTGAAGGGTCTGATCACCCTTCCTTGCTTTCTCAACAAATCCCTGGCCAGAGAATCCTTCTTTGATGGGAGACACTGGATCTTGACCACTGCTTTGTTCTACATTTCCTGAGCTGTTCTACTGATCCCACTTGTACTCAGTTAAGTGATTCTTGGTATATTTCTCTGTAAGTGTTGTGTTTTTTCATTTTACCAGTCATACTTCCCAAGTGGGGTGGGGGGTGGAGGGAGGTAGTTTGTACTTCTTTATTCGATTTCAGTGTCTTAGACACAGTAGCCCCTAAAGGTGTTGAATAACAGGCTTTTGCATTCTGGTCCTGTGACCATGATGAAAGAGGATGCTATGTGAATGGGTGATATCCTGAAAGAAAGATCTGCATTGTGTTGTGTAGGCATGGTGGTTGTGGGTAGAGGGGCAGGGAGGGGGTCAAGAGGCAATGCATATAGACTAGACGGTACTTAAACGCTCCCAGCCTGACTTTTCTCTAACCCAGGAATAGCATATCTACCAGGAAACAAAGGGCAAAACCAGCAGAACCTTTAAGGTCTTTGATAATTCTTAATAGGTATGGTTTTATGATGGTCAGGGAGTTGTTTAGCCAGTTCAGACCCTTCAGGAATGTGGCAAGGTAAACATAAAGTTAGTAGACTTTACTCTTGGCATGTCTGCAACTCAGAATTGCTGCTTTGTGCATTTGATGCCTCATTAACCAATAGTTTGTTTCCTCAAGTTATCTGTATTCCTTTTAATTCCTGTCGAGGTAAGCTTTTAGTAAATGGATTTCATTCCACCTCTTGCTTCTGTTAAGAAGCAGAGACTGTGGATGATAGAACTTGTGAATTTTTAAATTCCATAGAACACAGTTTGTATGTTGTTTATCAAACGTCCTTCTGCGTATTTGGTGAAGGGGGGCAAATTAAATTTACCTTTTTCAATAGCCTCTGAATTTTTAATGAGCTGCTATGTCTTGTCACTTTTTCTGCCGGAGCTATTGTTTTCAAGGTAACTGTGTTCTGTAATTTTTTGTTTTCTACCGAAGTAATTTATTTCTTTTATTTTTCAAGATAACTTCCATTTCTCTGTATGCAAGTTTTAGATTTACAATATAGGGTGTATAAGACACCTTAAAAAAAAAAACTAGAAAACTCTGGAATCTAGTATATCCAGGGATATAGCCGTGACATATTTATCTAAGAAGGAATATGTTAACACAAAGACGGAGATTATTCCTTTGAAGAAGTTTTCAAATGCATTGGTGCTTTATTTTTTACTTTTATTTTTTATTTTTGAGTTGGAGTCTCACTCTGTCGCCCAGACTGGAGTGCAGTGGCTGCTCCCGGCCACCGCAGCCTCGACCTGCTGGGCTCCGGCGATCCTTCCGCCTCAGCCTTCCAAGTAGCTGGAACTACAGATGCGCGCTACCACGCCCGGCTCATTTTTAAAAATTCCTTGTAGAGATGAGGTCTCGCCAAGTTGCCCAGGCGGGTCTCGAACACACGGGCTCAGGCAATCCACTCACCTCAGCCTCCCAAAGGCGCGGGATTATAGGCAGAGCCACCGAGTCTGGCTTGCGTTGGTGCTTTAAAAATCAATATTGTGTTATCCAAATGTGAGGATGAGTGATTTTTCAGAAAGAAAAAAATGTGTTCCAAATAAAATTCAGCTGATTTCTTTAATCATACATTTCATATTATGAACCTTTTAAAAAATAAACAAGCTGAATGTTTTTAGTAAACACTATGAAAATACAATTATAAACTGTTATGTCAATTAGGAATTAGAGGTTCTTAGACCAGTGGATTATTCCATAACTGTGTGAGCCCACTAAGTCTACATGCTAAAATTTATTTTAGACATAATTAAGGAAGGAGGCCATTTTTAACTACTTCAGTGTAGTGGCACGCTCCTGGCCACCGCAGCCTCGACCTGTTGGGCTCCGGTGATCCTTCCGTCTCAGCCTTCCAAGTAGCTGGAACTACAGGTGCGCGCTACCATGCCCGGCTGATTTTTTGATTTACTGTAGAGATGACGTCTCGCCAAGTTGCCCAGGCGGGTCTCAAACTCGCGGGCTCAGGCGATCTACTCACCTTGGCCTCCCAAAGCGCGGGATTACAGGCTGAGCCATCGAGCTCGGCTCACTGCTAGCTTTTGACATCATCAGCTGTGACTGAGTTTAGCAGGATCAGATAATAGACTAATCAAGCGAAATCTCTCTTTTTTTAAAGAAATCTAAAAATACAGGTGTTAAAAACTATTTTTCTCTAGTTCAAATTTTCTCCTTTCATACAAATGCTATAATTTGGTTCTGGAAAATACCTTGATTGATTTGTACCTCGGTTTTAAACTTCAGAAGAAAAAGTCCAGTCCCTGCTAAAACAAGAATGAGCAAGTCGATGAGCTGGGTGTCATTGTAAAGAACTCCACACTTTCAAGAATATTAAGAAAACAGCAGTTTCAGCTGTATGGTGGGCATAGCTTGGGGTCATGGATGAGATAGGAAATTGTGAATTTATCCTTGCTCAGCTGTCTGCCACACCCGACCCACTGAATAGAACACAACAGTTTATGTTGAAAAAATGTGAATATACCTCAAATACCTGGAAACACATCTCAGAATATATAGGTCACTAATAGTAACTTCATAATTACATGAGAAGTTCAAATCAGTGCATTATCTTTATATGCATGAGAGCTTTTGTTACTATCAGTGTATCAAATATTGCACTTAGACAAACAAAAATGTGTATACGAAGGTCACTATGGTAGTAGACATGCAGATTCAGTAGTAGGGTTGTTTTGTTTTTGTTTTTGCTTTTTTAATTGTACTCTGATGGTCAGGGTGTGGGTGATTTGTGATCTTATAGCAAATGCATAAAGAAAAGTCACATTTGGCCTTTAGGATTGTTTAATTTGGTGATCTAAAGGAGCCTACTTAAAAGGAGGTTGCATGGAGCAGAATTCATCCTTTTTATAATCTGCACACTTATATCCGTGACAGGAACGTGTATCTCTGTATCATCAACCGCTATTTCTGGCCACATTCACATTTACACCGTATCTTTATCCTTCATGCTGAACCTCCCAGAATGTGGCTGTTGGCCTCCCTCTTAAAACTTAGCTAAGATTTCCTCAGATCCTTATTCCGTGGATTTTAAAAAGTTTAAGCCTGCTTCCCTCACCAGCCCCTGTCAAGTGACTTTGAATTTTTGTTTCTTGTTCTGAGCTTCTTTTCCTGCTGGACTCTTAATCTCCTTCATACCTCACCCTACTTAGCTGTTCTCTTCTTTCTTCTCCGTACAAACTCAGACATGAACATCAGTCTCCTTTCTGTGATTTTCACATTTTAAAAGAAATCACACATTGCATTACAGTGTAGAGATTTTAACAAAAGTTTGGTGAGACTGAGGGGGTTTAGAATCATAGTGATACCAATAAGTCAAAAATCATAGTAAACATCCCTGGCTGGGCGTGGTGGCTCATGCCTGTAATCTCAGCACTTTCCGAGGCTGAGGTAGGAGGATAGCTTGAGGCCAGGAGTTCAAGACCAGCTTAGGCAACAAAGTGAGACCCTTGGTGGTATGTGCTTGTTGTCCCAGCTACTCAGGAGGCTGAGGAAGGAGGACCACTTGAGCCCAGAATTTCAAGTCTTTGATGAGCCACGGTCATGCACTCCAGCTTGGGTGACAGAGTGAAACCCTGTCTCAAAAACCAAACCAAACCAGACCAGACCAGACCAAACCCACTAAACCAAACCGACAAACAAAAAAACCAGTTATCTGTCCACAGCTAGAGATGGTTAAAAATAAAAAAAAAAGAAAAAAGAAAAAACATCCCTACTCTTCAGTATCTTACTGGTCTTCTTTCCTCCACAGACTTGACTATGCAAATTGCCTGGTTGTCTCTTTCCTTTTTCTTCTCATCTGTCTTTTGTTTTCAAATTTCTATAATATTTTACATAGAGAGGTTGAGCTGCAAAGGTTGTCTCCTTTCTCTCCTGCCTCTCCTGGCCCTCAAGGGGCTCCTAAATAAAGGCAGTTCCCTCCTCAAGAGAGATTCTGAGACCAGCTATTAGAATAATACTTATTTTCCCCACAACAAATAAACTTGTCATGCACAATACTCCCCAGTTCCGAACCCATTAGCTATCATTCTCTCTTGTAGCATATCTGTGATTGAAACAAAATATATTCT